AAGTGTTAGAACCATTAATATGGTTGTTAATTAATATAGTTTTTAGTTTGTCATCAGTTAATGGTAAAAAAAATATATGGTTCTGTGGGGAAAATAGAAATGGTTTACCTCACAAACGCCCTCGCGTCTGCCTGGCCTGTGGGTTGAGAAAGGAAAGAAAAGATCCAAGATGGTGTCCGTGACTTTTAATATTCACGGTCTTTGCAGTCACGTTAAAGTCGCGTTACACACATGCTAATGAGGTGTGTCTGGGCTCCATAAAAGCAGGTTGCTTGGAGAAATTGGCAGAACGGCATTACACCCGTGTTTGGTGTACATAGCTTTGCGTTGCAGCATGTCAGACATTTTCAGACGGAAAGAGTTGCGTCCCTTACACTGTTGAAGTCGACTCATTTGCTACAGGTTCATAATCAATCAAAAGACAATCACAAAAATCAACCAATATTTTATAAAATTATTGTAAGCATTCATTACGTTTTAAACATATTGGCAGTGTTTTTCATCATAGCTTGATTTTTATTCAATGCTTTCCAACCTATTCTTATACATCATTTTATTTCCTTCATCTTGTTATACATCTAAGTAGATGTATTCCAGGACTTCTTCCAGTTCTTCATTTCCTAATATAATGACTTTTTAGGAACATTACTTTTGTTTTTATTTCTGCACATTTTTAAGCCTGTGTTGAGACTTTATGTAGTTCATTCAGCACTTCTTGTAATTTATCTGCTAATTCTGATATTAATAAAATGCCATCAGCCAATTAAAGTTAACAATTTGCTATACATATTTCCTCTGTTAGTTTTCTTTATTCCACAGAGCCTGGATTCTGTTCTTGATTTCTGTCTCTTTGACCTTATTAGTGAGACACAATGGGTCCCCCTCACACAACAATAAAATCTACATATAACCACCAATTCTTCACAGGTAGAAAAAAGGGAAATACAAATTTTTGGGATCTCATGCCACTCGGTAGAAGGTAGGGAATTCCAGCTGTGGGCCTATATAATCAGGTAACATTCTAGCATAGGCAAGTGATGAACCATCCATCATGATGTAGAGATAGTTGTCAGGGGCCAGTCACAAGCTGTCCATTGAGAGTCATGTGGTTAGTTGGAGAGAGTCACAATTGGAAATGTAGAGAGGGGCAAAGGTGATAACAGTCACAGTTATAAATTAGAAGAGAGGCAGTCAGAGTACTCACTGGCCAAAAGAAAGCTCTGACCAGTCATGAGAAAAGACAGAAGTAGCAGTGAAAATTTCCCAAGGGTTACTTATCTACACCTAGACAGTTTCAGATGAATCTATGAATAAAGAATCCAGTAGATCAAAAGTATGATTTCTGTTTTCTTTTCTCACCATGATGATATTTCACCTGTTGATCCTTTGTGGAATCTGCACTCTGTAACCTTTCCAGTTTTTGTTCACACCAGTACAAATGACACATGAAATACATCACAGGGTGAATCTGTGTAGTCGGTGAATAACTAACTTAGAGCTGTGGTTGTATGTTTACATTAGAATACATTTTTGTTCCTCTCTGTTTTAATGTCATATTTTGCCGCCAAAATTCATAATCACTGATCACTTTTACATTTTTGTTTTTACTCCCCAAACTCTAATCACATTTACATTTTTGTTTCTCTCTGTAAAGGCACAGTCACTGATCACTTTTACATTTTTGTTTGTAATATCATATTTTGCCATCAAAACTCAGCCTCTGATCACATTTTATATTAACTTTCTTTATGGTGCTTACTTTTTTAAGAGTACTGCTTTTTTTTTTTTTCCATTTTTCTTTTTCCATATCTGTTCCTGGTACTTTTGTAAAAAACAAAAAAAATTTACCAACATTTCACTTCTCATTTCTCTTGTGTATTCTAAATTTATCTCTGATAGGTTCTTCTTTTCTTGTCCTGGCTTTTACATTGAAGTAGCCCATAAAAATAGTACAATTTGTTTTCTTCCCATCTATAATCTTACTGATGTTGTTGTAAAACTCTTCAAATTCCTCCTTTTGAACTTTTTCAAATTGGTGTATAAACTTTAATTATTTTCAGAGTCTATCTTTGGTATTATCCAAATTCTTTTGATATACTGTTGCTGTAGTGTCACTATTGACTAAAAATTCTCTGGCACTAAATTTGACAGTATAAAAGAGACACAGACATATTAGACTTGACCCCTTTCAACAGGAATATAATCAGGAAGAGGTTTTAGTGTCTTTCAACTTGTAAAGGGCTATCATAGAAATGATTAAGCAATAAAATTGAAGGTGAACAGAACACATAGCAAGAAGAAAGGATAATAGATGACGTAAAAGGTCGGTTAATACCTTGTGGATAGCACATATAGAAGACAAAAAAGAAGATGGAGAGATTAAATAAAGACGTGCTGCTAAGACATGGCAGTCATGATTTTCTAGTTTAACATTATTTTGATTTCTAATCATAATTTAATCATTTATAATCATATATATTTCATTCTGGGGTCATCAGGGGCCCTAGTGTATAAAATAGGAGTTTTTCTTATATTTTAATATTATTTTGATTCTGAATCCTAATCATATGTATTTCATTCTTAAATGATTGGCAAACTAGTGTATCCAACAGTGATGTTCAGATGTTCATCTAGTATGAGTAGCACAAGCCCTATGCAAACCCAATTATCAGAGGCTATAAAATGAAGAGTGATTTTATTAGTGTTGGTCAAAAATCTTGTAATTTAAAGTGAAGTTGTGATGTGAATCACTGAATAAACATATGATTTTATTATAAATTTTGATGACATATTTCTTTCATATTTTTTCAAGCATTCAGTTTTACAATATTTTCATCCTTAGCTATTATTTTTTAGCAGATCTATTTTTTTGGTTATTAAATTGTGATGTGTACATAGTATGGCAGTTATCAACAAACAGTATTGTCAAGTATGTCAAGTTCAAATTCCATTTGAGACCATTGTGTTTGTTTTTGCAGAAATACCTTTGAAAAGGTATGAATTCATCCCTTCTCATTTCAGTTAAATAGCAGGGTAGACTTGGCTCTCTAAACTTGCCTGCTATGAGATGGACAACTCTAAAACCTGGTCGAGTGGGGGAACTAGCAACTTCATCCTCTAAAAAACCTATTTGCTAAAACTGCAGCAGCAAAATTTTGCATGGTGAGGCTGCGACCCTCTACTCAACAGGGGAATCTGCAGAGTTAACAAAAAAATGGAAAGAAGAAGCAGCTTTGAAAATTACTTTAACTATCTTCACATGCTGTGAGTGGCTAATGAATGATTTATTTTGGAATGATGTCTACATCTATAACATATACATAACATAAAGAAAATGTAATTAAAATATTAAAAAAAATTTCTTTTATTTATATTCTAGCGATAAACAGCATGTATATTGACTAAAACATCTACACGGTACAAATTTTTATTTGGAATGATATCTACATAGTAAAACTGGTGCTACTTTTGCTTGTTATCTACAAGAAAAAGATAACAAGCCAAAGTAACACCTGTTTTACTATGTAGATATCATTCCAAAATAAAGTTTGTACAGTGTAGATATTTTTCCTTGTAGATAAAATACCAAAGTAGCACTAATTATTGTCTTTCAATCTTGTCCTTCAAAAAAAAATCGTTGTTATTCACAATAAAAATTGTTAATGCAATATTCACTTATAAAAAAAAAACTTACAATGAAAGAAATATGCTTCGGCTTTAAATAACCCATAGAGAATTGATAAGTTATAATTAATTAATTATAATCAATCACTGGCCAAAATGATATTCTAATACCATGTAATAAGATCTTGGGATACAATTAAGTCACAAAATCCAGTTTTAAGATTCCCACCAAAGAATCAATCTGCTAATATTGTGAACAGTTGATAAAACTTCAGTTCTGTACTCCTAATATCTGTACCTAAAACTATGAAATTTTATTCACTATTTTATTTAATTTTTTTCTCCTTCTTCTACCAATAGGAGTAGATAGGTTTGCCTATCATCCACTTCACACTCCTACCATGGCTTTTGAATAAGAGTAGAGGTTTAACCCTTGTTTTCTGTTTAGGATTGGGTTTCCCATTCCTTCTAAAATCTGTTTCAGTTCTGTATTCCTAATGTCTGCATCTGAACATTGAAATTTTATTCACTATTTTATATTATTTTTTTTTCTCTCTCTTCCACCAGTACAAGTAGGTAGGTTTCCTATTGTCCAGTTCATACTCCTCCCCAGTCATTTGAACAGGAGTAGAGGTTTATTCCTTGTTTCCTGTTGGTGATTGGTTTTCCAGTTCCTTCTAAAGTCTACTTCAGATCTATACTCCTAATGTTTGTCCTTTTCTTTACCAATATAACTTCACACAATAACCCTCTACCTTTATGGTTCTTGGGCCTTGTATTGGGACTGGTACTACAAAAAGAAAACTACATTTAATCTCCTTTGAAATCATCCCCATCTGAAGCCTACACACTTTATCTAGTATCATTTTCATTGATAGAAACATTTGTGGGGGGATAGCATGCAGCTGCCACATCACATTCTCTTGGATTTCCTTAACATCTTGAGAAATCTTGTTATTTTCCAGTGGTTATTTTCCAGTGGGATTTGATTTTTGAAGGGGAAAAAGTCGCAAAGAGCGAGATCTGGCAAATGTGGTACTAGGCCAAAAACTGCTGCACAATGGTCACTAATAGAATCTATGTAGGCAGGGTGAGACAACCACATTCTACACACTTTCCTTCCAATCACTGCTATAAACAGGAGAAGTGAGCAAGAACGTTAGAAGTTAGTGTGGATGCCTAACAGAGTTCAAGGTCAGTCTGTGCCAAGCGGCTTCACTCTGCCTACTTTAATTCCATTACCACAGCAACAGTCACAATACTTTTGATCAGACCTCATATTAAAAAATAAAAATATTATTACTTTTATTTTTTTATTATTTGATATTCATTCTTCAAATTATGCTTTTAAAGACATTTTTCTTTCTCTTTAACAGACACAAGAATCATGGTATCTCGGAAAACAGCAGCTTTGTCCATGGTCATACGAATAAAAATTAGTCCGGATCGGTATTAAATTTGAGAAAACCAACAACTGTAAACAAAAAGTACTGCTTTGCAAGAATTTATTTGGCTAAAAGAAGTTGGTCTAAATTCCAGAGAAAATCAGAATCAAAGACATTTTCTTTATTTATTTTTTTCTTTTTTAAACCAATTCAAAAAAGCAAGCCTCTTTGCCAAAAACACTTGAGCTGCCTACACACATCTATAAACAATAGAGATTTAAAAGATTTTTTTTTTTTTATATTACATTCACTTTTCAATGCAAACATATTTAATTCAGATTTATTCTTTGAATTGTAAATTTAGTTAACAAGAGATTTTGTTTTACCTGTAATTATTGATGCAGTCAGAAGTAGTTCCTATGCATGATGATCATATCAGGGAGGTTAGGTTGCAGCCAAAATTTAAATATCTTAGTTTAAAATAGCTCAACCATATTCAAATGATAAGTGACCTTTTATGCAAGAGATGGTAAAAGTAAATACCCTATTTGTTTATTTTCTAATTATTGCTTTGTAATTGTCATATTAGTTATCATGGCACTGTTCAAGGTAAATGTTTTTGTAAAGCGATTCCCAGTAAATGGAAGAATGCTTATGTTGTCAAATGTGGCCAATTTCTTTCCCTTGATCATTCATGGAAGCAATTTCAAGATTTAGATCATTTTAAAGTTGGCACATTCTTGAAAATAAAAGTCCTGTACAATTCTACTTACATTTCTTAAGCAGATGAACTATTTGAATGCTGGCTTTTCTGTCTTAACAAGAAAAATCCTTAATTTTTGACAATATTCTCAATGATTTAATCATAAATTGAAATGAGGTTTAGCCTAAAAGAGATGTTCAATGACAAGTAGACAAACTTTACTCTCTTGCTACAGATTTGACAGCCTCTTTCAAAAAATTTATGCAGGTACTTTCAAAACACACATAAAAAAACAAAAAAAATGTTATTTATAAAATGTACATGTTGTGAAGCAACATTTGAAGATGTGAGTGCACTGGTAACTCACATGGCAGAACATATGAAAGGTAATAGTTCTGTAAATGACACTAGTATTTGTACACCCGAGAAAACTAGTACCACTGTTAGTGCAAGTACTGCTTCCACTAATCGTATGGGCATTCCCAGTGCAAGTACAGCCTTTGGCAACCGTACGGACCTTCCCAGTGCAAGCACTGTCTTTGGTAACCGTATGGGCTTTACTGGTGCAAATACAGTCTTTGGTAACCGTATAGGCTTTAACAGTGCAGTTACTAACTTTGGTAATTGTACAAGCCTTACCAGCGCAAGTACAGTTTTTGGTAATCGCATGGGAATTACAAGTGGATGTACTTTCACAAATCTTATTCCCACAACCAGTGATTGTACTTCTTTCACTAGTCCTGCTTCTATGACTAATCGTACCAACATGACCAATGCCAGTGCTTCTCTGACTAATCACACTCCTGCAACCACTACCAGCACTTCTTTGATTAATCTTACCAGCACAACCATTACCAACACTTCTATGACTCATTGCACATCTGCAACCACTACTAGTTCTTATTTGACAAATCGCACACCTGCGATCAATACCAGTGCAACTTTAACTAATTGCACCACAGCACTTAATACCAGTGCTTCTTTGACTAATCGTACACCTACAAGTATTACTAGTGCTTCTCTGACTAATCGCACTCCTGTAATTACTACCAGTGTTTATTTCCCTAATTGCACTCCTGCCTTCACTACAAGTGCTTCTCTGACAAATCGTACAAACAAGATGACTACCAGTGCTTCTCTGACTAATTGCACTCTTGCAAACTTTGCCAGTGCTTCCTTAAGTAATCTCACTCCCGCAACCACTACCAATAATTTGCTGACTAATTTTGCTCCTGGAAACACTGTCAGTGCTTCCCTGACTAATCATACACCTGCAACCACTTCCAGTGCTTCCTTGAGTAATCTCACTGCTGCAACCCCAGCCAGTGCTTCCCTGACTCATTATATATCTGTAACCTCTGCCAGTGTTTCTCCGAGTAATCGCACTGCTGCAACCCCTGCCAGTGCTTCCCTGACTTATCTCAGCACTGCAACTACTTTCAGTGCTTCTCTGACTCATTGTAAACCTGCAACCACTGCCAGTGCGTCCTTGAGTAATCGCACGCCTTACACCACTGCCAGAGCTATCCTAAGTAATTACACCACTGCAACCACTGTCAGTTCAACCCTGACTAATCGCATTCCAGCAACCACTACCAGTGGTACCCTGACTAATCTCACTCCTGCAAACACTGTCAGTGCTACCCTGACAAATCTCACTCCTGCAAACACTGTCAGTGCTACCCTGACAAATCTCACCCCTGCAACCACTACCAGTGCTACCCTGACAAATCTCACCCCTGCAACCACTACCGGTGCTACCCTGACAAATCTCACCCCTGCAACCACTGCCGGTGCTACCCTGACAAATCTCACCCCTGCAACCACTGCCAGTGCTACCCTGACTAATCGCACTCATGCAACCACTGCCAGTGCTACCCTGACTAATCGCACTCATGCAACTACAGCCAGTGCTACCCTGACTGATCGCACTCATGCAACTACAGCCAGTGCTACCCTGACTAATCGTACTCAGGCAACTACAGCCAGTGCTACCCTGACTAATCGCACTCAGGCAACTACAGCCAGTGCTACCCTGACTAATCGCACTCAGGCAACTACAGCCAGTGCTACCCTGACTAATCGCACTCAGGCAACTACAGCCAGTGCTACCCTGACTAATCGCACTCAGGCAACTACAGCCAGTGCTACCCTGACTAATCGCACCAGGCAACTACAGCCAGTGCTACCCTGACTAATCGCACTCAGGCAACTACAGCCAGTACTACCCTGACTAATCGTACTCAGGCAACTACAGCTAGTGCTACCCTGACTAATCGCACTCATGCAACCACTACCAGTGCTACACTGGGTAATCACATTCTTGCAACCTCTACCAGTGCTTCCCTGACTAATCGTACTCCGGCAACTACAGCTAGTGCTTCCTTGAGTAATCTCACTCCTGCAACCACTACCAGCGCTACCCAGACTAATAGCACTCCTGCAAACACTGACAGTGCTTCCCTGACTAATCGTACACTATCAACTACAGCTAGTGCTAACCTGACTAATCGCATTCTAGCAACTACTGCCAGTGCTACCCTGACTAATAACACTTCTGTAACCACTGCCAGTGCTACCCTGTCTAATAACACGTCCGTAACCACTGCCAGTGCTACCCTGACTAATAACACTTCCGCAACCACTGCCAGTGCTACCCCTGACTAATAACACTTCCCAGAACCACTGCCAGTGCTACCCTGACTAATAACACTTCCGAACCACTGCCAGTGCTACCCTGACTAATAACACTTCGTAACCACTGCCAGGCTACCCTGACAATAACACTTCCGTGAACCACTGCCAGGCTACCCTGACTAATAACACTTCCGTAACCACTGCCAGTGCTACCCTGACTAATAACACTTCCGTAACCACTGCCAGTGCTACCCTGACTAATAACACTTCCGTAACCACTGCCAGTGCTACCCTGACTAATAACACTTCCGTAACCACTACCAGTGCTACCCTGACTAATAACACTTCCGTAACCACTACCAGTGCTACCCTGACTAATCGCACTCCTGCAACCACTACCAGTTCCAACCTGAGTAATTGCACACTTGCAACGACTGCAAGTGCTACCCTGACTAATAACACTTCTGTAACTACTGCCAGGGCTCCCATAACTAATCGCATTCTTGCAACTACTCCCAGTGCTACCCTGACTAATAACACTTCTGTAAGCACTACCAGTGCTACCCTGACTAATCGCACTCCTGCAACCACTACCACTTCCAACCTGAGTAATTGCACTCTTGCAACCGCTGCCAGTGCTGCCCTGACTAATAACACTCTTGCAACTACTGCCAGTGCTACCCTGACTAATAACACTTCTGTAACTACTGCCAGTGCTCCCATAACTAATTGCATTCTTGCAACCACTGCCAGTGCTACCCTGACTAATAACACTTCTGTGACTACTGCCAGTGCTCCCATAACTAATCGCATTCTTGCAACTACTGCCAGTGCTTCCCTGACTACTTGCACTAATACAATCACTGCCAGTGCTACCCTGACTAATAACACTTCCGTAACCACTACCAGTGCTACCCTGACTAATAACACTTCTGTAACTACTGCCAGTGCTCCCATAACTAATCGCATTCTTGCAACCACTGCCAGTGCTACCCTGACTAATAACACTTCCGTAACCACTACCAGTGCTACCCTGACTAATAACACTTCCGTAACCACTACCAGTGCTACCCTGACTAATCGCACTCCTATAACCACTACCAGTTCCAACCTGAGTAATTGCACTCTTGTAACCACTGCCAGTGCTGCCCTGATTAATAACACTTCTGTAACTTCAATCAATGCTTCCATAACTAATCGCACTCCTGCAACCACTGCAAGTCATACCCTGACTAATCACATTCCTGCAACCTCTACCAGTGCTTCCCTGACTAATCTTACTTCTGCAACCACTACCTGTGCTTCCTTGAGTAATCTCACTCCTGTAACCACTGCCAGAGCTACCCTGACTAATTGCACTCCTGCAACTATTACCAATGCTTCCCTTACTAATCACATTCCTTCAACTAATACTAGTCCTTCCCTTACTAATTGCATTTCTGCAACCACTTCCAGCCCTCCCTTAAGTAATCTCACTCTTGCAACCACTGCAAGTACTCTCCTGACTATTTGTACTCCTGTGACTATTGACAGTTCTTCCCTGACTAATTGTACTTCAACATCCTGTACCTCTGATTCTTTCACTAATCAAACTACCACAACCATTGCTTCTCTGACCAATCATACTTCAACAGTCTGTACTAGTGATTCTCTCATTAATCCTGCTGGAAGCACCTGTTATGTAACTTCTCACTCCAATTCTCTTGACATTATTAAAAGTATTAGTCATACTCCTGATTTTGTGACTTCTACTGAGAATAATCCCATTGCTACTATTAGTAATTCTGACATAACTTCAACTAATAGTGATGCCTCTGATCAAGACGTAATTGTTCATGATGCTACCTGTGTAGCTGCTACTACTAGTAATGATGTTGATATGACTATGGCTGCAAGTGTCATTGGTAATAATACTCTTTGTAAAAATACTTTTACTGATATTTCAAATTTTGCTACTAATAATACTAGTACTCTTAGTAATAAAACTACTACTACTTTCAAAACTTTTTCTACTAGTGGTCCTGAAGACAGTGTTACTTCAGTTAGTATTCCTGATGTTTCAACTAAGAATAGTTCTGATAATACTATCAACACTTGTAGTGATTCACTAGTTACAACCAATAGTACTACTACTGCTCCTGATGTTACTTTTACCACTAGTAGTGACACTACTAAGTCTTCTAGCTTCACAAGCCTCCCGAGCGACTCACCCCCCTATCCATCAAGCATACGCTATTTCACTGCTATTTCTCTAAAGCCATGTTCCTCCAATGTTGTCAATACAAGAACAGAAACACGATTTTCACTCAGAACAAGAAAGGTTGCAGCATCTGTACCCAAGACAAAAGAGGTCCAACCACGTCCCATGGCTGCTGTTGTAGATTCTGTACCCAAGACAAAAGAGGTCTATCCACATCTACGGGCTGCTGGCCCAAAATGTGTTCGCTGTAATAGATCTTTTAAACAACAGGGTCATCTGAACCGACACCTGAACACTTGCAAAGCCTTTAGCAAGACTGTTTGCAAGTATTGTAAGCAGACCTATGATGACCAATTCACGCTTAATAAGCACATTCAAGAAATGCATCAAGGTGTCCGAGCATACCTATGCACCATCTGCAAAAAGAACTTCAAGCGTTCTCACCATCTAAATCGTCATCTACGTATTTGCAAAGGGGACACTAATGTTGCTTGCAAGTTTTGCTTGCAAGCTTGTGAAAATCAGGCAGAGCTCTCCACCCACATTGAAAAAAAACATCATGACAAACAGGCCTACCAGTGCCCTTTTTGCAAGAAAAATTTTCTTCGATCTCAACATCGGAATAGACACAAGAAAATTTGCAAAGGGAATTCAGAGGTCGTTTGCAAGTTTTGCAAGCAAACTTTTGAGAATATCTTTGTTCTTAAAAAACATATATCGAAACGCCACCAAGATATTCGTTCTTACTTGTGTCCCATCTGCAAGAAAACTTTTAAGAGATCCCACCACCGTAATCGACACATGCACATTCATACCCGCGATGCTAAGTCTGCATCTTCAACAAATGCATCGGCTGGGAGAGACAAAAACGCTTTGAGAAAAAGAAAGCTCCCATATCCCTCACCTCGAACGGAAGATTCTAGCAGTGCAATAGAAAAAACAGAAAGAGATTTAAAGAAAAAGCCAAAGCCAGTTGCAAAGGTAGCAGGAAACAAAGTTTGCAGGTTTTGCAAAAAGACCTACACCAAATGGGCACTTGATGAGCACATCAAGAAACAGCACCTTCCTTACCAATGCACATTTTGTGGCAAATGTTTCAAGGTGTCAACGCAGCTGATACAACACCAACAGAGTCACAATCAGCAGAATAAGACTTCAACAAACAATGAAAATATGCCAATGTTGGAGCGAAGAACTTCATCTCGGAAAAGGAAGCCTAAATTTGACATAAAAGTTATTACAAAAATGCGCAATACCGCCAAGAACGAAACGGAAACCACAAAAACTTCAGAAAGTAGCAAAAAGACCAACACCAAGAAGTTATCACTTGATGAACAAATCAAGAAACAGAGCCTTCCTTACCAATGCACCTTTTGTGACAAAAGTTTCAAGTTACTGACACAGCTGACGAAACACAAACATCGCATTCACCCTCAGCAGAAGAAGATTTCAACAAACATTGAAAATACACCATTGTCAGAGCGAAGAACTTCATCTCGGAAAAGGAAGCCCAAATTTGACACGACAGTTATTACAAATATGGGCAGTGCCACCAAGAATGAAGTAGTGACCAAACCAGATAAGACCACAAAAGGTTGCAGGTTTTGTGACAAAAGTTATGCCAAAAAGTCGGTCCTTGATGAACACGTCAAGAAACACCACATTTCTTATCAATGCACCTTTTGCAACAAAAATTTCAAGTCATCAATGCAGCTGATACAACACCAACGAGTTCATACTCAGCAAAACAAGACATTGACTTTATTTCTGAAAAAGGAGCCTAAAATTGATGTGACATTTATTACAGACATGGACAGTGTCACCAAGAATGGAGTTGAGACCAAACCAGATCTGACCACAAAAGATTTAGAAACAATGGTTTGCAATCTGTGCAAGAAGACCTATAATAACCAGACACTGCTCATTAAACATGTTAAAGAGCAACACAAGAATATTTCACTTGTTGAATGTCACTATTGTTGCTTGCTCTTTGCAAACCAAATTGAACTGAGGAAACATACAGAATCACATGGTAAAATTTGTCACTTGTGTAAGAAAGGTTTCCGTAATCCCTGTTGTTTCTCAAGACATATGAGCAGACACAACCTTAAAGATAATCCAACATGTACAACATCTGCAAATCTCTAGACTTGGCTATGTATGTGATCCAGGTTTCATTACAAGTTTAATTCCCAGTGATTCACAAATATATAAGTTAAGCAATATTGAACCTGGTCAGTACCTAGATGGGTGACTGCTTGCGAATACCAGGTGTTGTAAGCTTGGATGTGTGAGTAGTGTAACGGACAATGACCTGGAATTAGAAGTCGGACAGCCTAGTTCCAAGTTGAGTTGGGTTTCTTATATTCACCTACATGCAAATATTCTTAGGAAAGGTATGAATCCACCCCATCTCACTCCCAGCTGCAAGCTAATTAGTAGGACTTTTATCAATAAATCATTATTATCTCAAAAAAATCCTTACAATCTAAAAATATTTTTTGGCTTTAAATAATCTGCAAAAAGATTGATAAGTCATAAAAAATCAATTCCCAGTGATTAACAAATATATGTACAAATTATAATGTATGTATAGACTTACTGTGTTTCCCATAAGCTAAGACGCATTTTTTCTGGAAAAACACCTTCAAAAATAACACTTTGTCTCAGCACTGAAAGCTCAAGTTGTGGAGAGGAATTTGCAAACCCTCACAAACCCCTGTCACAAGATACAAGTAGTCACAAGGCAGACTTATAATATAAGCCTACAACTATCATTCATATGTGATAAATACCATATATCACATTAGTATCATACTATCTATATTGTTTTTCTTTTCGTATTGATGATAACCAATAAGTAGCTTCCTACCAGTACTGTAAGTCTTTTGTTCATCTAGGCATACCATCCTGTATCTTCACAAACCCCAACCATGTAATACAGGCCGACAATTACATTTCATATGTACATCAGGAATACAAGCCTTTGTGAACTACTGAAACAAACCAGTTAGCTAAATAGATTGACCGTTAATTCCAGATATACTGTCAATTCTCAGTACCTACTATCAGCCATGTAATATTACAAATGGATTAGTCAATAATATATTCATACAGTAATAGCAAACTGTAGTTGTGACAAAAGCAAAACACTGAGCTCTTGGACACAGCCCTGAAACATCAGCTGGGAATCTTATATAAACTTGCCATGTGTTGAGATAGATGCCTTCTTGGGGCAAGTACCAGTTGTTTCTGATATGAATATATACAACATTTGTGTTAAACTATTGAAAATCTAATAAATAATAAATTTTTAATAAAAGGTCCAAAATGAGATAATTTGTTGTTACAGAAAGAAAAATGTCACCAAAGAGTTGGCAACTTGAATTTGCTAACTGAGTTAATTATAGGGTGCGTCTTACCTCATGGGAAATATGGTAAATATTTATTCATGTGTGGATATTATGAATGTGTCCATATTGCATATGGCCTTTTGATTACATATTATGAATGTGTCCACATTGCATATGGCCTTTCGATTACATATTATGAGTGTGTCCACATGCATATTGCATATGGCCTGTCGGTTGCATATTTACAACCAATTTTTACTGGTCAATATTTGAGCCAATCTAAAATACTGATGTTTACAAGACAAAGACACATCATTTAGATGATTGGCACTACATAATTTTCTCATTTTTTCTTTTGTGCTAAACTAAGCTAAGTTTAATGAATATGTACATACATGTCACGTGTTTATCTGTTTGTATAATATATATATATATATATATATATATATATATATATATATATATATAAAATATTCAATGTATGCCCTGCTCCCATTTTTAAGTCCGTTATACAGAAGGCTAAAATTAAAACACCTGATAGTAATTATCTATTTATCAGATTAGTGACCAAATTTCCTGATTCTGGGGGTTATTTAGGTTATCAAATCTACACTTACTGTGGAGAAAATTTTGACAATCTCATAAACAACACCCTAAGAATCTAGAGGGTTCTTGAAAAGCCACATTCATGCATGCTCAGATCTGAAACTTACTTTTAACCCTACCTGCCCTTAAGGGATGACAATTGTTAAATCCTTGGAGTCTTTACTGAATTGTTGACAAATCTGACTATGTGATGCTAGTGAAATTAAATTGATATATCTCAAAAGCTGTTGAAAGTCAAGTCTTACAAGTTGATTTTATATGAAAGTAAAATGGTTTCTCTTTCAAATGGTACCTAATTTAGCCTCTTTAGTGCTAGTGATTTTGGAAGTCGATATGGTTTTTGAAATCTACAGCTTTTAAAAGTTGTAGATTTCTGGTTTCTTGATAATGTGACCGGTGTTAAAGCTGTGCATTAAAATACAGTGCTATCTGATTTCAGGTGCTCCAGGACTAAGCGTGTGAAACTTGAAAGTGCATTTGGGCTCTTCTGTCTTTAAGGGGTTAATCAAGAAAATCTAGCTGATAATATTTCCAATTTACCAAATCTTTGATGTACATATAGATTAATATCACTCAAACATGTTGCCCATGAAAACATTTAAAAAGAAATTTTCTGATACAAAGTGGCAAGTCCTCTATGAAAACAATCTCTGTAACATTAAATGAACATTGATATTTATAGCAATTGTAATCTAAAATTCTTTATGTTACTCATAAAATCACAAAAGAAGCCACACAGATGCCCAGAAACTGTCAAATATTATTTTTGCCTTTGTAGTTTCTTTTCCTTTCAAGTGGTAACAAATTCTTAATGTTGTCCAGATTGAAATCAGCGTTTGGAACATTGTTGGATAACTAAGGACAATAATGAGAAAATCAAAGAATTTGGCTATAACATCTAATTTCTTAAATACTAAAAATGCACATCACAAAAATTGCAGTGACAACACCTGCCCCTGATTTGGGGTTAATGAGCTCATCTTGCAGTAATTGCTTGTCAGTTCATTTCATGGTATTCTTTACTTCAATTCAAACTGAAACCAAAAATCTTCACTCATAGTGGAATGGCAAGATATGAAATAGATACTCCAGTTCTACCTGTCAGTTGCACTGACTTGGCCTGAAGTAAAGAACGCCCTAGTTCATTCTTTGATGGATGCTCTGCAAATCTGTCCTTGTACAAAAATCCAACAAATATCTTTAAAAACAACAACAGTGTTAAATACCAAATTGAGTAATTGTATCTTTATTTGCCAGCCTGTAATCATTCTGAATAACTCAGTGACTTTACATTCCCATTTTACAGAGATACACACACACACACACACACACACACACACACAGAGAGACAAAGGTGTGCTGAAAAGATATCAGCCTGACCAAGAAGGGATACAAAAGAATCCTGATGTTAGGCCATTTGAAAAGTGGGCCAAACTGAGGACTTTTTAGGACATCTTTGTCTGTGTGTGTATAGACACACACACACACACACACACATTCCAACAGTTCTGAAACTCTTTTTTTTTTTTTTTAATTGCAATAAAAATAAACTGTTGCATGCTGAAAAAAAACTTTTCTTATTTGTCTTATTTATCAAACAAGTGAAAATATTTTATGAATCTTTTTTCTTTTTTTTTTTTTCTTTTTTACAGTAAAAAAAAATATTTTCAATTGATGTCAAAATAAAATACTGTTTACCCAATTGATTGGGTCTTATATAGGATTCTCTCGCTTTTTAAAATTGATTATTTGATTTTAAAACATTTTTAATTCTTGTCAGAATTGTGAAGCCAGAATTTTTGGACTGGAATTTCTCTTTGATTTTCATTTTCAAAATACACAAATATTTTTTTCTTTTTTTTTTTTTCTTTTAAGAAAGTAATTCAACTAAATTATATTTTTCAACTGGCTTCTTACATATCTTTTTTAGAAAATAGATAGCACATCCCCCCATTGCATTTTAGCACTGAACTCAGGTGTTTGGTGCAGAAACCTAATGAAGGAAAATTTAAAGTTTTTCATATAAGTAAAATGCAGTTTCAAAATAATTATTAATTTATCTGGGATTAGTTAAAAATAATTCATAAACAAAAATAATGACATTTCATTTATCCAATTTAAGATAATAGGAACTTCTATTTCCACTACATCATCAATAGAGGACAATACATAGAACTGGGGGAATCACCCATTTCTGTTTCCTGGACTTTTCTGGTGATACAGAAGTCTTTCACATACACACACACACACATATATTTATTACTTTAAAAATTATTTTTAGTGGGTACCTATATTTGAGTAGACGCCCTGTTTATTTTAAGCAACATTGTATTTCTCTGAGTCTGAACATTCAAGAAATTTTATTAAGTAATTTTGAAAGTAATAAAAAATGTCAGATTAATAAATAAATCCATTATTTCTTATGTGTGTGTGTGTGTATTATATATTTGATTAATAAAACAACAAAAGTTTCTTGTTGATTTTTTTTTTTTTTTTTACTTTTTTAATATTTCTAATTTTTTGATTTACAGTTTGCAATGGTAATTAAAATTTCCCATGCCTCAGTCAAAGCAATTATATAGACATTATTGGAAATTTCCTTACCAGCCAGAAGACAAAAAAAAATGATTAGAAATATTAAAAATATAGTTGAATACAAATAAAAATCAACAATGAACTTTAATGAACTTGGATTTAATTAAACATGCATATATTAAAAACTGATGCCGAAATACACATTTGTGTGTGTGTATATATATATATATATATATATATAATCATGAAGTGGAGATATTGAAAATTGTCAAAAAGAAAAAGGCTCTGTGGTGGTGTGAGTCCTCTTAAGTGGCCAGCTTTTTGATCATCCCTTAACAAATAAATGATTACTTATCAATGACTATTTACAAACTTTTTTACCTCACTTTTACTACTAATTCTGTTTTTATTGTTTAATATTTTGAAATTAGCAATCCACTTTGATATTAGTTGATTGAAAAGCTGGTCACTTAAAAAGAATCACGGTATATACCATGTATAAATTAACTTTATGTATAGTGCAACCCCCCTGAATATTTTTGCACAAATTTTAACCCCTCCAGAAAGAATTTACCTGCATGTAGTGCAACCAGTCGCATTATACACAGGTAATTTTTTTGAAGAGGTTAAAAATCATACCTTTTTCGTGACTGCTTGCACAAGTAATTCTTTTCTGGAGGGGTTAAAATCTATCCATAACTGCTTTCTGTAAAGATTTCAGTGTCTAGATTGGTCATCATTATAAATTTACTAATATCCACTGGCCAGCAGTAAAGAGCTGCTCTGGCAAGACACTACAGTAAATTAGAACAACTTGAATTAGCATAACCCATGTACCTCAACCATCCTGCATTATGTACCAGTAATCTTGACGAAAAGGGAATGTTCTTCATTTACATAGGGTTTTTGTTGATTTTTAAGTGGCATATGTAGTGGATGAGGTTTTGCTCCTCATGTAGCAACAAAAGGGAAGAAACTGATAGAGAAAGGAAAATGAGGAAGAGGATGTTTTTTCCTTTCCCTTCCCATCTGTGTGTGGTTGTCTATGACAACTAGCATAGAAGCCATCATTGTTTGTTGAAGTCTTATTCTGCTGATTGTGACTCTGTTGGTGTTGTATCAGCTGCGTTGACACCTTGAAGCCATCTGTACATGGTCAACTTAATCTTAAGTGATGGTATTTTCTTAAGTGTCCACTTGACCCATGCTGTAGAATAGAACTGAATTACCCATGCCTTGCTGCATGTCAGATTTTTTGTAAGAAAATGATGATTGATTTTATGTGGAGAAAAATTATGCATTTCAATATTGCTCATTGATCTTGCTGGAGTGACCTCAATCTTCTGGGTTTCTCCTATATTTTGGATAGGAGTCATTCCCTTATTTAAATTTAATTTAAATCAAAGGGAAAAATTTTTTCGGTGGTGGAGGTGTACAAAACAGCTTGATCTAACTCTTGATAAGTATTTGATGCAATACTTGATTGAATGAATTGATGAGCAGATTTCAACATTGATATGACAGTTGAATTGTCACAACAAATATGTATGTAAGGCACTACCCACTAATTGGAGATTTCTTGTTCAACTTGATGTCCATATTGTCCCATTTTGATCTTGCCAATGTGTCCTCCATCTTCTGGCTTTTTCCTATATCTTGGATAGGAGTCATTCCCTTGTTCAAATTTAAATTTAAATCATAGGAAAAGAAATTTTCAGTGGGGGTAAATTTTGATGTTTGGTCATTTGGCCAGTTTTTGAGAAATGAATCAGGTGACTGAATTGGCTTATGGCCACATCACATTGAAACACTGATTCCCATATGATCAGCAAAGTTAAGCAACACTCAAGCCTGCTCAGTACCTAGATGGGTAACCACTTGGGATTATCAGGTGCTGTAAGCTTGGATGTGCAGCTGGTGTTATGAATAAAGACTCAGAATTGTTAATTGGAGAACTGAGTTCCAATTCCAGTTTTTTCATTATATTCACTTACACATAAATACTCTTAAAGTATGAGACCACCTCTTCCCCCCAGCTATGGGTTAATTAGTAAAATTAAAAAGTAAATTAAACCATTATTATCTCAAAAAAATCTTACAATCTAAAAAAATATTTTCTGGTTTTAAATAACCTGCAAATGGTTGATAAGTCATAGAAAACAAATCAAATAACATCCAGAGGTAATAATTGCTGCTTTTCTTTTTTTCACAATTCCTTTAACATTAAATATCCCACAGGTACAATCTTTATATACAATTGGATGCATTTTCAAAGTTTTAAATAATAAGCTTTAGATAAGAATGGTAAGGCTTGGGCTGTGGCTTTAGATATCTCAAAGGTGTTTCACAGAATTTGTCATGCTGGCCTCCTGCACAAGCTGGAAGAGCTTGGTGGCTCTAGCCAAATATGTAACTTGATCCAGTCTTTCTGAACAAATTGTATAATGAATGGCATGATTCTAGAGATGCTTTCACATTAATGCCAGGACTCTGTCTTTGGCCCTATGTTTTTCATCAACCTTTCAAATGTCATCAATTCCCAACTTGGTATTTATGCTGATGATACAATCTACGTCATTCAATACAACAAAATTTTACTTTAAGTAAAATGCCTGGAGTGCCGATCAGAGAGAAGATGCAAACCAAACTAATCGATGGAAGCTCCACATCTGCATCTGTGACACTCATATAATTTGAGCCCAAGACAAATTGCAACTCCGACCCAAGTACACTCATCATCTAGAAGGGTACCGGTAGATGAGGAGGCCACTGCATTGAGCCAGGTGCCACTACCCGATTGTGAAACAGATAGTAGACAGTTGAGGTGGTGCTGATTCAGAGAGAGCCTCAAATTAGTCAAATTGGCCTTGCATTTTATTTTATCCTAGCTTTCCTGTTTTGATATGTCTTGTGAGATAGTAATTCTTGGGCCCATATGCTGCAAGCTTGTTCAAAAGAACTACCCGGAAAACCTTGAGACAATCCACCAAGTATCTCATCAATTAATTCACGACTGGAAGAAAGTGAAGAAAGATATGCTGTAAGGGCCAAGTCTGCTGCTGATCGAAGGCCCAGGCCTCTGAAACTAAAAGGGAGTCTTACCTGCCTCTAGCCTGTGTCATCGAAATTAACATTGCAAATTAACTCTGTACATCTCTTAGTTGTGATATATATCTAGATAAGAAATCCTGTTCGAGATAGCAAGGGGCACTTTGGAGAGTGTAGAGGAACCTTGGTAGAGAAAAACTGTTCTTCAGGGGGAAGAGGGCTGGGTGTGCATCAATTAATTGCAATTTGAGTTAATCTCAACTCCAAGCAGAGATAAAGCAGGAATAATGTGTCAGAGGTTGCTAGTTATGGCCTCAACAGGTCCTCCCAGCATTGCATCGTCAAGATACCATATATTGAAAGGAGAAGCAATGCAATGAGCTACCTCATTGATAGCCATCACAAATAGTAGTGGATCACCTTGCTGGATTCTGGTAGCAAAAGAGATAATATTGGAGGGGATCAACATATTTGGATGACTACGAAATATGAGCCAGTTGAAATATGGAAGGAGTCTGTTGATGGCAAACTTCCAGGATATGATCCCTTCTGATGCTATTGAAAGTGTTTTTCATATTCAGTTTTAATAAGGTACGTGGGGAAACAGGTGATGTATTCTTGAAAAATTATCTTGTGACATGAACCATACTTTCATATCTGCCCTGTATGCCTACCTAGAGTTGGACAGGTCACAGTTCATGCCCTATCTCCTCCACAACAACTCTAAATGTGATTTTTGCAACAAAAAATGTTATCAACAGCAATAGGGCGGATACCTCCATCTTTTTTTTTTAAAACCTTTAAGTTGGCTGAAAATATTAAGTTGTGATCATGTTAGGGTATCTCAGCTCAAAGAAGGATATTAATAAGAGCTGTTATGGATCTTTTCAAATGTTCACTAGCTTCAACAGTGTGGGCAGAAATTAAGTCCTTGGTGTCACCAGGTTGTAAGATATCCACTCTGCCACTGCTGTTTCCTGAGAAAGACTTCAGAGTGGCAACCCACTTCATTCAAGATTACAATATTGGAATCATTGTTTTCCATCTGAAGACCATAATGATAATTTCATGTCCAAGCCAACATGCAAATTACTAAGACCCACAAAAAGCAACATTGGGAAAATAAGTAAACTTATATTAAAAAAAAACATGCTTAAATCTAAGGAACATTAAACATAAACCAATGAAAAAACACAAACGAATCAATTAATTGGTTTAATAATATTAACAGCAAAGTAAACTGTTCGTTTCATACAATTTGTATAAAAGACTTTTACCCATTTATGAAAGAGAGCATATTAAATAATGCACTAAACTTAGGCAAACAATATATGACTATCCCCAATTATGATATAGATATAATAAAATACCGTAGAAAATATATACTACATTATAGCAAAAAAATATGAACCAAAAAGGGCCAAAATGAAAACTTTGATGTAACAATGGGTAGCTATAATGTGAGTTTTTAGGTATATATATAATGAACAAATTGATAACTATAATTAACAAAAAGCTATAGGTTTATACAGAGACAATGGACTATTAATACTAAGAAATTGTAATGGCAGAACAACTGACATAATCAGAAAAGAAATAATAAAAACCTTCAAAAACATACAATTTACAATTGATATATAATCCAACCCCCAAAATAGCAAATTTCCTAGATATAATTTTCTATTTAAACAACAGAACCTGGGTAAATGGGTAAGTGCAGACATTTATACAAAACATTTACTTTGCCATTTAAAAATTAATATATTAATATGAATGTATGTATGCATGTAGGTGTGTTTGTGTGTCTATGTGTGTGTGTGGTGTGTGTGCGTGTATATATATATATATATATATATATATATATATATATATATATATAGTGTGTGTGTGTATATAATAATGGACTCTCCTGTTGATTTCAACATATGAGGATCTGACAGCTTAACCATTTGGTACAGTTATGAAATTTTGTGCAATAATCTGAAGTGGCACTTAAGACCCACAAGTGATTTTGAATCAAGATAAACTGCCAGAAAACTCACACAAGTGATTTGATGAAAGGGGTGAAAGCTTGTAAAGAACCATCCAGATTTTTTGGAACTATTGATACACACAGTCGGTGCAAACAAATGCCACAGACGAATCAGACAATAGACCTCATACATATATATATATATATATATATATATATATATATGTATATTTAGTGTATTGGGGCAGCAGATCTTTATTTAAACATATATTGTTAAATATAACAGACAATGAATGTCTATTATACCTGATCATGAGCCATTCTAAAGTTTGTATGTTTGCTTTAATTTCAGGTGAATAAAGAGAAAAATTGTCGAACATTTGGATAGTTTTTATTAAGTTGGTCCTTGATCTAAGCTTTTAGCTCACATGAGCCATCTTCAGAGTGGTTATACAGATATTTTAACAAAGATATTCACCATTGAAGATGATATTTTGTTATGTTGACATAGAAGATTGCTATGCAAATGTAACAGTCATGAAATAGCAGACACAGGTCGTAAGTTCAAGATGCGGTTCTATGACATCATACCACGTGAGAAGCCAAAATATTAACAACAGATTCATATGTCTAGATGCAATGTAATGTGTTGTGACTAGTTTGAAATGTAATTTTGTTGAATATGGGTTACTTTGATTTAGATGGTTTCCAATATCCGAAGGTTCTTTTTACTGTGTGTATGTGCGAGTATTATTGTGTTATCAACTAATATCTGTCTAATATTATGTACATGGCTATGTTTGTTAAATCTTGTTTAATAGAACTAAGATCAGAAAGGTGACAGGTAAGTCTACAGGAGAACGTGGTTGTAGTAAAACCAATATATGTAGTGGGTTTATTATTAATATCAGAGATACAATCTCTGACATTATCAGGTTTCCATCAGACAAACGCTAATCAGAAATTTAAAATGTGTACTTTCTACCACTTTATAGTTTCATTTAAATCATTACAATATTTAAATGGTTAAAATAAAATGAATAACCAACCAGTACATTTTTTTTATTTTTGCTATTTATATTCAGATTATTGTGCTCATATTTGTTGTCACTATCACAGTGTTCCAGCAATTTTGCTCTCCGGCCTTCCTCATGTGTATATCAATCTGAATAATCTACAGGAAATTCTGAACTGAACCCTTTATTTAATATATGGGGTTAGACTGTTCTTGTTCAACTGTTCATGTTTAGATATATCATCCAATTCTTATTTTATCTAGCACTGTTCCGTTATTGCCCACCTGTTTCCACTGAATAAGTCAACCTTCACCAGACAAAACCTTAACTTCAATTCCCATAGTCTGAAAAAAAAGGATTGTTCGATGCTTATAACACCTGGAAAATCATAAGTGGGAGCCCAAACACATTCCAACAAGAAATGATCAGCATCAAATATACCTTTCAGAATAACAACTACCCAGCAAACATGATATCAGCATCTGGAGGTAGGAACAGAAGGGACAAGGAGGATGACCAGAAAATTGCCAGGGTCTGTCTATCTTATGACAAGAGCTTATTGAAAAAGATTCAGAAGATCTATGATCCATACAGCATCAGGACAATATTCAGAAGCAGTTCCACTCTACTGAGAAATCTCTGCTTAACATGAGGAAGAATATGATCAAGAATTACATATACTTAATCCATTGCAGTTGTGGCAGAGAACATGAAGATGAATCCATCCAGCCCTAAAAGTAAGGCTGGAAGAACATCAAAAAGCCATAGTGAGAGGTAAGACAATGAAATTGGGCATTGCTGATCATGTATAGAGGGAAAGGGGTAATCATCAGCCTCTGTGGAATGGAGTGAAAATACTGGACAA